CGATACCGATATGGGGCCGATTATATCGTGCATTCCTACTGATGTGTTTTATGTGTTTCAACACTTCTTATGCAATATGTGACTTTTGGATTTAATTACCTCCATTGAGCCTCCCGCTGTCTGAGAGCAGCAGCCGCCGCTGAGCTGCAGGTCCTGGGTTCTGCAGGATGTGGGACAGCTCCCCAGACAGATGGTCGCTCCATTACCGGCCTCACACTTTGGGAGTTTCCAGCAGAGCTGCACATTGTCCTTTATTGGGGCGGGGGCTGGAGCGCACCCACTGGGAATGACCCCCCGCCACTACCTCCCAAACTCAAAAGAGCAGAGATTAGATTTAACCTCAGGTCCTGTTGGAGTGTTGTTTAAACTTAGAGTTGGGCTGAAATCATGTTTTTTTTTCTACATTAACCTAAAAATGTGATTGTATGTGTTGGGAGATGGTTCACAGATGGTGCAGGAACAGAAACACTTCCTTTCTCACTCCTCTTTTTCGGTTTGTTTACATTCTTTTTCCTTGTGTCCCTCTTTCAGCTACTTGAACGATTTGGACAGGATATCCCAGTCCACTTACATCCCGACCCAGCAGGATGTGCTGAGGACCCGAGTCAAAACCACGGGCATCGTAGAGACGCACTTCACCTTTAAAGATCTCCACTTCAAGTGAGAACCTCTCAGCAACGCAGCAACTCAATGAGCTTCTTTTTATTTATTTTTCTTTCTGTCACTGACTCATCCCCTCCCATAGAAACTCCCTGCTAACGCTCACAGCTGTAAGTTTGTGACACAGTCTGAGGGTGTTGCGCACTTCAGCCGTGACTCAGTCGGGGCTCTTTGTTAGCGACACAGACAGGAAGCGGGGGGGGGGGCAGCAGCAGTGCTGTGGTGATGTCACGTTAGCGGAGGTTGTTGGCGATTTCAGCATCAGTGCTGTTAAAGCAGAAATTCCACTGAACCCACAACAATAAAAAGCTCACAGCTGTAAAAACGTCATTTATGCAGAGTTTTCAGACTCTGGGCGGCTTTTACTGACTCCTCACATTTTATTATATGTAAAATTGGACCTCAGCTACCAGGAGTCATGATTGACTTGTTAGACAATAGACTTGATATAAAAAAAAAAAAAATGCCAGGCAAATAATGAAGACAGTCTGATCATTTTAGCAAAACAAAAAAAATTTAAAACTGCTGAAAATTGTCCTCAGAAATGCAGATTTCAAGTCTTAGGTAATGTGTGATCTTGGGCTTAAACAATTAAACAGATGAATCGTGACTAATGGATTATTGAAATAGTCGTCAACTGATTTATTAATCTATTAATCATTAACTGGAGTGCAGAGACTCTAAAACATGCCTTTATCTGACAGAGCGACCCACTTAGAGCAGGAATTATACCAAGATTGTAAAATCATTTTGCATTTCAGATAAAAAGAACTATTTATGTCAATATTCTCTATCCAGAACTCCTTAACTGGAAAAGTTTTAGTTTCGCCTGATTTAATTTCATTAAAAGTCGTCTTTAACCCTTTAAAGCCCGATTCAAGAATAAAACAAAACAGAAAATTACTTTTTTTTTGGTTTCA